TGGCAAAAGCTAGTGGAAATATTTGTCCGTTGGCATCTACTGCAACTGCAATCAAAAGCTTAATATCATACTTTCCATAGACATGAGTACCGTCTATGGAAATTACAGGACGACAATGCACAAAACCATCAATTGCTGGTTTAAATGACCAAAATACATAGTTGAAAATATATTCCGGTCTGTCCGGACTCCGCTCACGCCTCCATTCAACAACAGTCCTGGGGTTAAAGTGTTGCAGTGCAGCCATGTACCTGGGCAGATTTGAAAAAGACTTATCCCAGTCGCCATAAATAAGTTCAAAGGCACGTTTGCGACCGAGATATGCCTTTCTTTTGGTTATAGTACAACCATACTCCTGGTGGACGGCTGTAATACACTCTTTAATCTTGAACCTAATGGACACTTCCAAAAATGGAATCAAGACAAGGGAAATCAAGTCCACATCCAAGTTGAAGTGATTCTCATTGAATGTGTCCATTTCACATCTGTGCTCGCTAATAAATTTACCCACTTTCCACAAACCTGATTTCTTCTTTGTGGCACGCAGCATCCAGTGACAACCCATAAACCACCTACGGCATACAGCCTTGTATTTCTCCGTAGTTGACTCACTTACCATCATCTCACGACACTCTCTTATACTGTAGATTTTTACAGCCCTAATTAGGCGAGCTTTATCGGGGAAATACATGCCCTTTGTAAGAACAGCTGGTCTAGATTCATCCCACATCACTGACCGTAATTCATCATCATCCCTTGTGAGGGCATCGATGTTAGGCATGCTTGGCAAATTATCAAGGTAGGGAATATTTCGCTCATGAAATGGCACGTGGGACTCATACACTCTTGGTCTAGCGGGAGGTGGAGGAACATGCTCCCTGGTCAGCTCAGGTTCAACATTCACTTCCTTCTCCTCATCATGGAAGGGTGTGTCATCCCCAGACTCATCCGCATTGTTGTCATAATCACTATCATCATCCTCCTGACTCTGCGCATCTGCCAAATCACAAGTAAAAACGTCGTCTATGGGCAACTGTGTGAGGCCAGGAGCTTCAAGAAGCTCGTTTTCACTGCACAAAAAGAACAAATACATAAGTTACCCAATACTCAGGAAAAATACTTTAGATATCGCTATATCACTTTACTTACAAATCGTATTGTCTTGACGTTTCATGATGGATATTTTCATGTTGGTGATAACTACCAGATGGACCACCGTGGTCCATTACTCCATACCTGCCCATATTCCAACTAGGGGCGGGTCATAACTTGTAAAATTCAAATCCGGACGATACCCCCTATAAAAAATATGAGTGTTAATACAAATCCAATTAAAACATGAAAAAAAAATCGCTAAAACGCAGTAAAATTGAAGTTTACCAGTTGTCTTGTTGATTATATAAAGTGGAAAAATTATTTTGTGGCTGCTCATTCGCCTGTGGTGACAAGTTTAAATCAAGGCAAGCTCTTTCATCTGCAATCTGTCCGGCAAAAGCTGCTCCAGAATAACCACCCGATGACTGGGGGTTATCCCTGCTATGCACGACCTCATTACTAGGAAGGTCCTCCACCTTCACGTACATTTCCAATAATTTTATTACAATAAATTCCCTGTATTCGTCCGGAATCCGCAAAAAATCTCTAAGAGTTTCGTCATCCTCGATGTTAAACTCAGAATAATAAGCAAACCCCTGCGGAGTCACTGAATAAGGAAATCTACCGGTTACTTTAAGGCTAACCGAACGCCTCCGCTCACTCATTTTTTTACGTAACAACGATACCAATGTATCGTACTCCATATTAAGCGGCAATTTAACATGACACTGTGGAGGTGAGCTATACCTTACAGAGTTATTCTCCACCACAACCTCAACCCCCCCAATACAGTGAAACCCTTATTTTTGGCACTTCAGACATTGTAAAAAATTGATTGATAAGGAGAAGAGAGAATAATGAACGTATGTTTGAAGTTCAAGTGTTGAATAAATTTTTATAAAATTCAAACGTCTATAAATAAGGCAAGTCCGAGCTTGGGGTGTACAATTTTTCAAAGTAATTCGCAGTATTATACTACGTTTTATGTATTTGAATTATTGTTATATCAATAAATTATTGGTGGGGCCCATCTCAAGCGATTCGCAGTATTATACAGCGAATTGCATAAAAAAAATTATTTTTTTAATATTTCGCAGTATCATACTGCGAATTGATTTAACGGCAAAATTTCCGTTAACCCGATTCGCAGTATAAAATTGCGAAGTACTCATTAATGTAAATTTTTTTTTTTAAAATATTGAAAAAGTGCTTTTTATACAAAAAAATCATTAATTAAGTTTGATTCATGACAATGTACTAAAAGCTTGTAATGATAAAATTCTCCTCAAATGAATTGATTTTTCTTCTGTAAATCTTATACATGAACAAAGAGAAGCAAAGTGCAGGAAAAGTTAAACTATTTTGTTGGAACACCTATATCAATAAATGTCTCCACAACCTCATATGCCTCAAAATACCACTAACTAGCCACTTTCGACATCACAACAATAAAAACTAAAATAGACAAGTCTAGCCACATACAATAAATAAATCAACCACATCAATCAAGTATGTCAAATCTCAACTCAATAGCAAAAAGTAAATTATAAATACAAAACATGATACAACAGAAAATCTCAGATTGACCGGCCACGTTTCTCTTTCAACAAATTAGTTTAAGATTTCTACACTTTACTTCTCGTTGTTTGTAGGAAGAAGGGTCTGATATATCCTTTTACTTTTAAAAATTATTTAGAATTTCCTTCCGTTATACTATTAGCACAAAAAACCCTAGCGTCTTACTATTAAACACATATACCCCTAACTTGACGGACTGGATACGTGGCACCCATCCAAAGCTGTTGGTCCATCTAGTCTTAAATTCATAGGACCCGCCCCATTATGAGGTACCCATAACCCATAACCCAGCTCACTTGTTGGAAGTCTACCCCTCTCTTCATTTCCCATTTTCAACAGCTGCAAAAGGGGAAATTCTATAGGAAAAATGAGGATGGAAAGCAGTGAAGAAGAAGATGATTTCCCCTGTATTGAAAATGTGACCCCTAAATCCAAGATCGGCTCCCTTTATCAATCCAAGGCTGAAAAAAATACTCTCTCTATGTGCCTTTTTTCTACTTTCTTTTTCATCTCCATTTTCGTTAATTACTGAGAAAAAGGGGTGATAGCAAATTAAATAGCTCTTATTGTGAGTTTCTTTTTTTTTTTTTTGATTTCGATCAATATTTTGAACCAAGTTTGTAACTTTTCATCTGAGTGTTCATAATTTTCTTGGAGTTCTAATTCAAATTTGTTTTGCTGGGTTTTCATTATTTCAAGTGCTAGAGGTGAAAAATTGGTGCTTTGATGAAACTTGCAAGTGTGTATTCTTTTCTTGAAGGTTATATATTTTCTTAGCTAGATTTTTTTATTTTTGAAATTCATTTTCAGTTTGTGACAAGAAAGTGCCACCGACACTCAAAGGTAAGTTTTATAGAGCTGTAGTTAGACCGGCCATGTTGTATGGGGCAGAGTGTTGGCCGGTTAAGAACTCCCATATCCAGAGGATAAAAGTAGCAGAGATGCGGATGCTGAGGTGGATGTGTGGGCACACTAGGATAGACAAGATTAGGAATGAAGATATTCGGAAGAAAGTGAGCGTCGCCCCTGTGGATGACAAGATGCGGGAAGTGAGGCTCACATGGTTCGGGCACGTGCAGAGGAGAAGCCTCGATGCACCGGTGAGGAGGTGTGAGCGGTTGGCCGTGGTGGGTACGAGAAGAGGTAGAGGGAGACCTAAGAAGTATTGGGAGAGGTGATCAGGCAGGACATGGCTCGACTGCTCATTTCCGAGGACATGACCCTTGATAGGAAGGCCTGGAGGTCAAGCATTAGGGTTGTAGGATAGGGGTAGTAAAGCTTTCCTTACTTCATTAAAGGGGTGAGGCGGGGTTGGATTAGGATTGGTCTTAGATGGCTTACAGTTTATGTTGGACCCACACAATTCTTGTTCTTTGTCTTAGCCCCGGGCCTTAGATTATGGTCACTGTTATTGCATGTCATTCATCTTTCGGTTTTTATGTTTCTGTTACTATTACGATTTCTACTGGAGTTACTAATGAATTCTCTCCTCTTGTTTTTTCTTACTTTATTTTCGACTTTCTAAGCCGAGGGTCTATCGGAAACAGCCTCTCTTTCCCTATCTGGGCACTCTTTCCCTATCTGGACAGGGGTAAGGTCTGCGTACACATTACCCTCCCTAGACCCCACTATATGGGATTTTACTGGGTAGTTGTTGTTGTTGTTGAAATTCATTTTCAGTTTGATTTCTTGGGGTGTCCATATTTCATGTAAAAATCTAATTTTTCTTGTCGAGGAGGAACTGAACCTTTATTTTTGGGAGTTTAAATTTAATTAAATTAAAAATGTGTTGGGTTATGAGTACTAGGTAATGGGCTAGCCGCTTTTAATTCAAGACGAGATGGACCAACCTCTTTGGATGGGGCATGCCATGTGTGCAGTCCGTCAAGTTACGGGTATATTTGTTTCATAGTAAGATGGTAGGGGCTCTTTTGAGCCAATAGTATAACAGAGGACAATTCTAAACAATTTTTAATAGTAGACGATATATCAGACCCTTTTCCGTTGTTTGTATTTAAGAAGATTTACATAAGGAAATCAATTGATTTGATAGGGATTTTATCATTACAAACTTGTATTATATTGCCATGAATCAAACAAGATAACTCAATAATATAGAAGTTTAAGAATTTGAATGGCCAGGCATGCCCTCAATCAGTTGGACGGCAGGGCATGTTTGTGCCAAAGTATCAACGGTGAACAAGTTCACTTAATTTTGCATACTTCAAGGGAATATTTGGACCTTTTCCGCTTAATTTTGCATACTTCAAGGGAATATTTGGACCTTTTCCATTTTATATTTAATGTCTATAGACAGAGCCAGAAACAAAAGAAAGAACGATTGAAACTTGAGTACGCTATAAAATTGTAGCAACAATCATGAGCTAAAGCTTAACAAAAAGTATTTTGATCGATTAGTTGTATAAACTGCCATAACAGCCATATACAAAATATCACCCGAAAACATGGAGACTCGGCTGCATGATGCAAGTTCAGAACTAGTTTGTCAACATAAGGTATAACAATGTTTTCTTTTTTAACTGTGGTTCGGGCCAGCTTACGCGTACCTCTACTAATATCTTCAGTCTATATATGGTCAGCAGCTCTCTATGTTAACTGGTGGCGCTACTCCAGTTGACGCCGTTTGTGCCAAGGGAAGAAATTTGTCACAATCCTTTGCGCCAATCTTTGTAAATGCATCTTTAAGTGTCTGGATGAATCCAGCCAACATGGCCTTAAAACTTTGAGAGCAACTTCTTTCGTCACCTTCAACAGCATCCAGAACACATCCTCTAACAAGGCTACCTACTTGAGCACCATCTGTATATGCTTTACATGCCACAAGAATATCATGACAACTTTGAAAGTAATGCCCAACAACAAAATCCTCAAAATGCTGCAACAATAGAGCCGGAAATCCAAATTAGTAGTAGTTGATTTAAGACCAAAGGCACAAGACAACTAGTATTTTATCAAGAAAATCAAGTTGCGTGGTCACTGAGCTTTACCCATTATAACTACACCTTGATTGGTAAGTTGTCGTTATAGTGGTGAAGTCTTTAGACTTTATTGTAATAGTGAATAAAACTCAGTTGGCTTAATGTGACAAAATAATTTTGTAATTTTACCTTTTTAGTGACTAAAATTCAGTCACTTTACTGTTATAGCTGATAAAGTTCAGTGATCATATTTAAAATTAACTCCAAGAAAAAAATGTCATAAAGCATAATTGAAAAGCTTATATAGTAATAGATGGTCATGAACAAACATATACCTGTGGTGATCGCCTCATACAGTAAACCATTGTTTTGAGATTTAAAATGAAAATGCTCTCATTATATTGTATTGAGCAATTTTCCCCCATGGCTGATCCACTCATCTTTGCATATCCAGGCTCATTGAAATAGGGCTTTGCATTCAAAATTAGCCCTTGTATGGAAACCAAAACTTGTAGCATAGTTGATTCACCAGGGATCCATTTCTCCTTCGCTCTACCGCCCCATGTGTTGAGAAGGCTCAGGCACACTTTTCCACATTCATACAAGTTCGGATTGATACGAAGACCAAAAGAATGATAGTGTACATGCTGGCAAAAATAGTTAGGAAGGTGTTAGACTTTAGGTAGAAAAAGGGAAAATTATAATATTTTCACATCACAGATAAAATAAGATATCTTGATAGGTAGACACATACTGGTGGAACATTGGGATAGTTGCTAGGGAAGAAAACATCAAAGAAGAAAAGGCCATCATGGTACGGAGTTCCATCAGCTCCAATAATCACTGCCCTCAACAGATCCATTCTTGTTTCATACACCCGGACAAATATGGTATCTGCTCATGAAAAGGCGCTCAAGAGAGTGTCGTTACAAAAAAAAATACAACAGGCAAGTTTTTTATCTCTAATTCACATTATCGCTGAGCTCCTCAAAAATTAATTACTTAGAGAAATTTATGAGCATGTAATTCAGTGGCTTGATGACAAAAACAATCATCACAGATCAGGTAGAAATGCTATGGAAGACAGAAAATTTGCACATATTACCAGGCAGATCTTTCTCCAGTATTTTCCATTCCTCCTGTATTCTCTTGGCGCAACTCTTAGAGGCCTACAACAAGTGACAAATATTTAGTAATAAGATGAAGCACGAGTAATCAAAACTATCAACCACATGTTTTCAGTTATGCCAACCTGGTTGTCAAGGGATGCAAGTCCAGAAAAGAAATGGTCCGAATGATCTTGAACAGTATCAAATTTTTTGAAGAGACGGAAATTCTTCAGACTTTCACCTAAATCTCTACGTTGTCTCTCACTAGAAACTGATCCAGACTGAATTGATGAACTCTCTGTAGTAGTTACACTCTCGTGCAGACCCTGTGTCCAGAGTGCATGATCCATTTCCTGAGGGAAATAGTACATATGACCTGGATGAGGGAAATACTGTTGCTGAGGGAAATAGTTCATAGCACCTTCTGTGAAAATAACCCCCGGATGAACCTGTTGCAGAGGGAGAGAGTTCATACCACCTTGTGGGAGCATAAATGCCGGATGCACCTGTTGCATAGGGAGAGAGTTCATACCACCTGGTGCGAGCATAGACCCTGAAGAAGCTGGAGCAGTTGTCATTTTAAAGGGTAAATTTGTCCAACCAGGCATTTGTGGAGGTACAAATTGAACTTCAGGGAAATGAGATACACCAGGTATAGATTGAGCATGCCAAGTGTCAGAGGCAGTTCCCTCGAAAAAACGGAATTTCCTTTTAAAAGAAGATCCTTGAGCATTAAAAGATTTTCCTGCCCCAAGTACTAGGTTTGTAGAACTACTTTGTTCTTTACAACTTGTCTCTTGTGACTTTCCTTTGGCAGAAAGTCTGGTCTTGCAAAAAGCAGGTCCCAGAGACGACGAAGATAGCTCAAATGGCGTAGGCTGACTAACAGGAGTTGAGCCATACCATGAAGTGGACTGGTGCCTTAGTACCTTAGGGGCTTCTTTTCCAAAAGGAAAACTCATAGCTTTCGAAGCGGACGATGTGGTTGTAGTTGTTGGCGCCATTTTAGCTTCAGCAGGACCGGACATCCACGGGATTGGAACCTCAACACCAGGTGGAATATCCATATGATCAAAATGTGATTGCATAATGGCATACTCCTTAAGCGCTGGGTCATCAAAATACATGTCTGTATGCACATCATCTCCATAATATAGGTCGGCGCCAAAATCATCTCCAATGATTTGACCATCTGATTCTGAAGGGCAGTGCTTCTTCGAAGACTGAACTTGATCTACTGATCCACTACCTGCTGAACCACCACGACCAAGGGAAAGTTCGAGCAAAATTTCCTGCGAAAGAAGAGAATCCACAAATTAGACCCTGAACAGAACACACATAAAACATAGAGATAACCAGTAGTTTGCCAAGATCCTTGTAATAACTACTCGCAATTCTAGTTACCTTTCCTTTGCTACTAGATTCAGTATTCCCATCAATAAACATTGCATCACTATGACCTCCTTCCACGTCAACATCTATTATTTCACGGTGAATAAACTACAAAATGAATACGATTCATCAGCATTAGTACCATGTCCTACAATAAAATGTTTACCCCTGAAATCTATAACCTCTAGAAAAATAAACAATAAAGATTCAAATCAAAACATCTACAGAACTCCTGTATATACAATTGAAAAGATATAGAAAAAGGTATTGCACATAGCTTGCTGTATATGTTCTTTTTCACTACCTTTGCCACTGAACCAAATGCTAGTGGCGACATTGCATGCTATATGTAAAGCAATGAAGAGGATGATTCATGACTGTTGAAAGATAGGTTTAAAATATTGTTAGTATCAACAACATGCATTAATTTTTAGGTCAAAATAGAAACTTCAGCTTCTCGTTTGATTCAAATCAAGCCCCATAATTTGTTTATCTGTTTGATGGAAATAAACTCGTACACCAATTTCAGGCAAATTTTTAGGAAACCTGATTCAAGCCTAAGTTATTAATGTTTTGCATTTTCTCAAAGCCTGGCATCAAGATTTTCTCTCCATAACTTCATCAAACTCAACTTGACTTCAGTATTTCCAAAGAAGAGACAGACGACTTTTGCAAGACATAATCAAACTTTTTATTGTCATCGAGAAATTATATGCCTCTAATACAGGAAATTATATGCCAAAGCCAAAGCTTTAAGAAGGAACCGAAGCACAGAAATTTATACCTCCTTTTGATTAACAGACTCTGATTTTGAACTCCAACTGATAGAGGGCGAGACATCCACCATCTGCCCATCGATTGAACTCCCACTAGGAAACACTCTTTTCCTGTGCATTAATACCAACAAAATCAAACAGACACACACAACGAAAACAAAACAAAAAATAAAAGAAATAAAATCAAATGGATATATGTTTCACTTAGAATTCAGGGAAACACTCTTTTCCTGTGCATTAATACTATCAGAATCACACAAACATAAACGATGAAAAAACACAAAAAAATGAAATGAAAATCAAAAGGGTCTGTGTTTTACTTAAAGCTCTGGAGAAACACTCTTTTCCCATGTGCATTAATAACATCAGACCCACATACAGAAAACAAAAATACTTAAAAAAAGAACAACATCAAGTGAGTCTGATTTGCTTTTAGTTCAGCTGAAAGACTCTCTTTGATGTGCATTATTATCAGAATCATACAAAAAAAAAAAAAAAAAAATTAAATTAAATGAAAAACATCAAATGAGGAAAGGTGAAACACTCTTTTCCTATGCATTAGTACCATCCAATTCACACATACCCAGATAAAAAAAAAATAACAGAAAAACATCAAATGTGTATGTGTTTTAAGACGAAACACCATCGGAAATAAAAAAAAATTTAACATAAAGAAAGTAGAAAAGTACTTTAAAAAACATCACATGGGTTTGTGTTAACTGTTATACTCGGAATTCTGGTGAAAGATATTCTTTCTCATGTGTATTAAAATCATTAGAAAATCAACATTACAGACCCACACAAAGAAAATCAAAGATTAAAAAAACAAAAAAAAGACATGATCAAATGGGTCTGTATTTTACTCAAATTTATGAATTTTTCTTTGTATCAACATTTTCAGAATCAGAAAGGCCACATAAAGAGATAAAATGGCAGATATCAAATGGGTATTATAGTCTGTGTTTTACTAAGAACTCTCTTTTGCTATGCATCAAAACAAAAAAAAAAATTCTTCAAAAGAAGAAAGACATCAAATGGCTCTGTTTTTATTTTAACTAAGAATTCTCCTTTTCTATGTATCAACATCATCAGAATCACAACAAATCACATAAAAAAAAAAAAAAAAAAAAAAAAAAAAAAAAAAAAAAAAAAAAAAAAAAAAAATTAAATGAATTTGTATTTTTTGGAATCCTCTTTTTTATATGCACGATTAACATCATCAGAATCACAAAAACTCAGATATAAAACCCAAAAAAGAAAACATCAAATGGGTAATGCGTTTCACTCATAAAATTCATTTTCCACAAATCGAACTGTAAAAACCCAGATAAGAAAACGAATAGAAAGACAGCAAATGAGTATTACTTTGAATTCTGGGAGATGTATAGAGAAAGTGACGGCGGAGACTCCATTGAATTGACTGTTAGAAAGAAAAAAAACACAGCTAGGGCTAAGTAATGTGAAAGTGATCAGTTTCTTAAATGAAAATCTGTTTATATAGAGAGTTCCGTTTTTGGGTAGTGAATCTTACACAGAAACAAACTCTGCCGATATACAAATTTAGTGTTCACTGTTATTTCCTTTCTCCAACGTGTCTTCCCCCTTTTGACACGCCTTCGCGCCTTGTTTAGAGTACAACGTCTTATGTCATTGGTAGAATGCCCCTGAATTTTGTGTTTATTACGATATCACCACTGTGGATCCCAGTTTGGGGCAAAAGTAATACATGGGTCCTAGCTGGCTTTATCAGCTTCTTACGAGTAAGAATAGATAATTCTTTTTTGGGAAAATATCCAACTGTCTATTTATAAGTAGTTTATTATAAAAAATTAGTCAATTTATTAGCTAATTAGCTATTTGTAGCAAAAAAAGGGGTTAAATCTTTACTTTCTTTTGCGTGAGCGTCATTAGAATAAATTGGATACATCTTAATAAGTTTGAATATAAGTTTTAGGATGATTTGGCAGAGTTTTGAGATGGTTTGAATTGAAAATTCAAAATAGAAGATGAAACACAAAAAAATGATAAGTGTATCATATTATGTATCACTTGCGTATCATATTTGTATCAAATGTGATTCACATGTATATCCATATATAAATGTGTGCTTGATATATGCGTTGATACATGTGTCGTAGAATAATTTTTTCAGCTCGATTTTAACTACGAATTTTAATACCAAATCAGTCCAAATCACCTCCCATCTTCCTCAAAATTTGTATGACTCATTTATATATATTCAATGAATTTCAACCGTACCCATTGAAAAAGATTCTTTTTTGCTTAGATTTTTAAAATCTTGTATATATAAATATATATTTTTTGGCATTTCATGTAACGACCCGACCGGTCGTTTTGAGCTCTAGCACACCGTTCGGCGGTTTGAGACCTTGAGTAGCTTCATTTCATATTTTATGATATACGTGTAGCCGAAATTGAATTTCGGGAAGTTCGGAGTTGGTCTGGAAGGAAAAGTTTAAATTCGGAAGCTTTAAGTTGGAAGAGTTAACCAAGGTGTCACGACCCAATTCTAATATAGGCCGTGATGGCGCCCAGTGCGGCCGCTAGGCAAGCCAACACTGAACTAACCACGTGATTTCTCTTTTTAAAAGATTTTTCCAAGTAATTAAACTTTCCTTAATTTAAAAGATTTAAGAAAAAACAAATTTAAAATAAATAACACGAAAGCATCTGAGTGCAATCATAACCATAGAATAAAACCAAAACCACAAGTCTACTAATGTGTGCCAAGACCTGGTGTCACAAGTGTATGAGCATTCTAGTAGAATATACAAAAAATATACTAGTCTACTGTCTGAAGTGATATAGACAGAAAATATAAGCAAAAGAAAGACTCCGGCTACTGCAGAACGGCTCGAAAGGCAGCTCACCGTGAAGTCTCGAAGTGGTAATCAAGTGTGCGCGCCGGACTGATACCCAGATGCACCGGCCTCATATCCTGCACATTAAATGCAGAAGTGTAGCGTGAGTACGCATAAACAACATGTACCCAGCAAGTATCTTGTCTAACCTCGAAAAAGTAGTGACGAGGGGTCGACTTCGACACTTACTATGGGCCAACAATATAATAATATGAAATTCTAATTAAACATGATATATATAAATGACAATAGAACTCAGAGCAAGAAACAAATAAGCAATCCTTTCACTGTTACTAAGAACCAGATAATTTCCCTCATTTAACCGTGTAACTTCTCAAGCCAATGAAAGCAATATCAAATATAAAGGGACTTCTAGTATTATTACGCACGAATTATGCCGAGGACGTACGACCCGATCCAAATATACATATACATACTTGTGTGCACTGCCGAGGGTCGAACGACACGAACCATAGATGCATCTATTAACCTGCCAAGGCGAACGGTCCGCTCCCATAATAGTAGTGGAAATTTACCCCGATCGCGGAATATATTTGCGACGCGGTTGAACATAGATTCCTCAAGTTATCATAATTTCCCTCAATTCTTTTCAAAATAAGAAATTCAACTAGAAACTTTTAAAATCTTGAAATCCTCAACCTCAGCTCTATTCAAGACAATTAATAAGCATAATCAAATAACGGTGTCAACAAAGCATGGTATAAATCTAAAACTGCCCGAACATAAGCATGAATAGTAGCTACGTACGGACTCTCGTCACGTCATGCGTACGCATCCCCCCACAAATAGAAGAACATATTAATTAAGTTCACCTATGGGGTTAATTCCCTCTTACAAGGCTAGAAAAGAGACTTACCTCGCCTCAAAGCTTACTTACCCGCCCCAAATTCACTCTAATTCCTCAACTCGGTGCCAAACAAGCCAAAACTATTCAAATGGTTCATAAATAAATCAATACATGTTCAAAAGTTCATATTCCAACTATTAAAGTAATTACCCAACCCCAAATATAGGATTCCTAAAATTCACCCCCGGGCCCACATGTCCGGATTCTGGAAACTTTCAAACAAAGGTGTTACCCATAACCTCATGAACTCAAATATATGATTTTTACTAAATTCCATAACAAATTTTCGTGGTTAAATCTTATTTTTATCAAACCCCTAGGTTTTCACCTAAACCCATGATTTTCACTAATTTACATGTTATAATCTACCCATAAACTATGTATTTAATTCACAATTGGTAGAAATTACTTACCTCAAATTGTTAGATGAAATCCCCTCTTTAAGAGCTTCGAGAATCGCCCAACAATGGAATAAAATGAGCCAAAAATGACTAGGTCCCGCATTAAATGAAGGTTCTGCCTTCTGCGATTTCCGCACCTGCAGAGGGACTTCCGCATCTACGGTCAAAAGTCCGCTTCTGTGGAGCAAGCCAGGCCACTGGCCCATCGTACTTACGGAGCTGGGCCGCTCCTGCGCAACCGCTGCTGCGACCGTTTCTTTCGCTCTTGTGAACATTGCCGCTTCTGCCGTCACAGTCTTCGCACTTATGCGTTCGTTGGTGTGCTAGTTTCATCGCTCTTGCAAATCCTGGGCAGCCTTGGCTTGTCCGCTTTTGCGCCCCTTGGCTCGCACCTGCAGCTGGCCAAGCGCAGGTGTGATTATACCAGCAGCTGGGAGCTTCAGCTGTTGCTCCCAAGTTCCGACTTGGTCCGCGCCTCGTCCGATTAACATCGGGGCTCCCCAAGGCCCTGCCCGAACACACCAACAAGTTTGGAATCATAAAACGGACTCGCTCGAATTCTCGGAACACCCAAAACAACATCAAAACTAAGAATCACACCCCAAACCAATTGAATAAAAAATATGAACTTTAAGTTCTTCAATTTAATCCCAATGCGCCGAAATGTACTTAAACTACTTGGAATGACAGTAAATTTTGCGTGGAAGTCTTTTATGATATTACAGAACTATTCCCAGTCTTGGAATTTCATTTGGACCTCGATATCACCAAAACCTACTCCAAACCAAATTTAAAGAACTTTAAAAACCATTAAAGAACCAACTTTCACTATTAGGCGCCAAAACGCTCCCGGGTCATCCAAAACCCGATCCGAACATACGCCCAAGTCTGAAATCATCATACGAACCTATTTGAACCGTCAAATGCTAATTCCGAGGTCGTCTGCTCAAAATGTTGACCGAAGTCAAACTTAGCCTTTTTAGCCAACCTTAAGGAACCAAGTGTTCCGATTTCAACCCGAACCTTCCAAATCCCGAACCAACCATCTCGGCAAGTCATAAAATAGTAAAAATACGTACGGGAAGTCTTATTTAAGGAAACGAGGTTTTAGAAAGCAAAATGACCGGTCGGGTCGTTACATTCTTCACCTCTTAAACAAATGTTCGTCCTCGAACGAGTTTAGAATCATACCTGGAGTGCTGAATAAGTGTGGATATCTGCTCCGCATGTTCTCCTTGGACTACCAAGTCACCTCCTCGACTGTTTAGCCACTCCACTGAACCTTTATCGCGAAAGTCCTCTTGGATCTCAACTGGAGAACCTGCCTATCAACAATGGCAACTGGCTCCTCCTTAAAAGCCAGACTCTCATCTAACTGAATCGTGCTAAAGTCCAACACGTGTGACAAGTCGGCATGATATCTCCAGAGCATAGACACGTGGAAAATCGGATGAACTCCCGACAGACTGGGAGGTAAAGCAAGCTCATAAGTAACCTCTCCAACTCGTCTCAACACCTCTCTTAAGTATACGTAGTCACAACCGGAATGAAGTGTGCCGACTTGGTCGACCTGTCGACAATGACCCAAACTGCATCAACCTTTCGCAAGGTCTGCGGCAACCCAACTACGAAGTCCATAATAATGCGCTTCCATTTCCACTCCGGTATAGTCATCTGCTGGAGTAGGCCACCTGGCCTCTAGTGCTCATACTTAACCTGCTAGAAATCTAGGCAAATAGCTACATACTCAACTATGTCTTTCTTCATCCACTGCCACCAATAATGCTGCCCTAGGTAGCAATACATCTTCGTAGCACTTGGATGAATGGAATACCGAGAACTGTGTGCCTCCTCTAGGATCCTCTCCCTCAAGCCATCGACAATAGGAACACATAGATGACCTTGGAGTCGTAGAACTCCATCCTCGCGATAGAAACCTCCTTGGCACCACCCTATAGTACCGTCTCTCTGAGAACCATCAAGTGCGGATCATCAAACTATCGAGCCTTGATCTGCTCCAATAGTGAAGATTGGGCAACGACGTATGCAAGAACTCGGCCGGGCTCTTAAATATCCAACCTCACAAGTCTGTTAGCCAAGGACTGAATGTCCAAAGCTAGTGGCCTCTCCTCTGTTGAAATGAATGCCAAGCTACCCATACTCTCTGCCGTTCTGCTCAAGGCATTTGTGACCACATTTGCCTTGCCCGTATGATAAAGAATGGTGATATCATAATCCTTCAGTAACTCAAGCCATCTGTGCTACCTCAAATTGTGATCCCTTTGCTTGAACAAATTCTGCAAGCTGCGATAATCAGTGCAAACCTCACATGACACTACATAAAGATAATGCCTCCAGATTTTAAGAGCATGAACAATTGCGGCTAACTCTAAATCGTGCACATGGTAATTCTTCTCATGGATCTTCAGCCGACGGAAAGCATA